TCAAATCGAAGTTTGTTCTGGGTTGATTAGGCGACAAATACATAACAACTAAACAGTTGTAGACGAAACGTAAGTGATGTTAAAAGTTGTCTAGTAATCGAGGACAATTTTTTTTATATTAATAATTCCTTAGCTTTCTTCTGCTGAGTTATTTGGCTATTACCGTGGCATTGGAAAGTTCTAATAGGTTGAACAAGACACTGTGACACAATTCCCAATACTTTTACGCGAACCAGTAATAACAGTTTGATTTACCTCGCTAAGCTTTGTTCCGTTAGACAACACATTTTTGTCAGTCAGCTGTAGAACGTTGTTAATAAAACAAAATTCTTCACAACCGGGTATAACCATCGCATGAACTTCGCTTTAGAATGTTTGATTCCTATATAAAAACTGAAAAAAGTAACTGTATCAGATGACATGTAAATTACTTTAGAAACTATTCTAACTTAGAATGAATTTTATCTTAAAAATCCTGATAACAAGGCTGCAGAATATGCTTACCCTTATTTCACTGCTGTTGTCTGGCGTTTTATAAATTTCCATTATAAGACAGGCGGCATATGGAATAAGTTTTTCGTCACCGATACCTAGTGCGTACATCAAAGACGAAATGGTACCGTCATGCTAAAAAACAAAAGTCCTATTAGTAAACTTTGAACATTCCGTATCTCGAAACTTTCACACGCTTCTGGCGCCAACTCTTGTCTCTGAAAGTTTTTTTACGTTCAGAGTTATATTCATTATTTCACATTCTATAGCTAAATTCTTAAAAGTTAGAAAATAACTCCTTTTACGCGTTTAGAAGAACAGGCTTCTTAGTCACTAACTGTGGAATAAAGAATCATTTTTGAAGGACGAATTGACATGTCGTGGGATATATTAGTAGCTCTTGAAATCCAGTCTCCTAACAGTAAGCCACCTCGAAGCCGAGCCTTTTCCGGCGAGTTGAAAGCATTAATTTGCCTAATTCTTTTTAGTTCCATGATAATTTCTATTGTTGTTTGATTCATGTACTCAGGCCACCGTTTATAAACCCAGTCTGGTTGAGGTAGTTTATGAATGATCTAAAGATGTAAACTGATAATACTGCGAAATCTTTACCATACGAACTACTCAAAAACAAATAAACGACTAGAAACCTCTTTCTCGATGTTGTTTAATGCAGCAGCTTTGTCAAGGTCAACTTTCTTGAAACCAGTAACATTTTTTAAGAAAAGAAAAAAGTCAGCGTATTTTTCTTCCAATTTACTGAAAACATCTTTATTTTGCTGCTTTGAGACTTTGTCGTATAAACTGCACTTCCAGTCAGTTGGTTTCAAGATCTGTAAGCAGTGGTCAATATTAAATTAGAATTTGTCAGACATTTCTTTAATTTAATGTAGTATATCTCAGTCCTGCTCATATTACACCGCTTACAGCATCAGAATCTCCAAGAGTTCTCGAATAAAACGGGAGTGGTTGCCACGCTTCACCTTCTAACCAAGCATCTGATCCGTTGGCTGGAAACATCCCACGAAGGAAAGCTTGAGCGCTAACAATGGCTCTTTCACTGTTTGTGGATTTAACCATAACCTGAACAGTATCCGCATTAGACATCTCTTAAAATTAGTCAAAAAAAAGTGCTGTTTTTTTAGTGATAATACTTACTTTAACTAAAGAAAGAAATGAGATGCTACTAAAAATTATGTGATTGTGTCCTACTTTTTCCATATCAAATCTTTCGCCAATAAAGTATTTGTATCGGTTCCGAAAAAAGCTGCCCAAATCGTACATTTCTTGCATCCCAAGCTAAAATTAGGTCGTTTTCATTTTGGCTTCCATTAAATTGTATATTTTACCTGATAATTTGACTTATTAATTGCCAAGAATACACAATATTTTGAACCGCCTTTGAACCTAATGTTTAAAACAAGCATTTTACCAAGAGAAAATGAATTAATTTAAATAAATTTTTGCTTTTTTTCTATTGAGTATAATCAGAGGCGTGGTGAAAAGAAGTAACTAACCTATTGCTATTTTATGTGCTAGAAAATTAGTCACTGTTATAGTCTACATCATTAGTAACTGGTTATGAGGAGAACTAAGGCGCGGCTCAGCTACATTCTCTGTCGTGAGGTGTGAGAAAAAACCTATTTGTTGACATCGTTAAAAGAAAGTTTTTGTTTGTTGAAGAGACCGATCGCTCAAATGGCGATATTTCATTGAATGAAACCGCTTCTAATAGCTCTAAAAATTTTTCATTGTAAATTTTAAACAAACATTGGTGAGCTGTGCCCATCCACGAGGCCACGAAGCTTCTGTGTTCTGGTCTTTCGGATATGGAAGTTTTTTGGGAGCGCGATCACCGTGGCGCCAAATGGCCTGAACGTAGATCAACGCTCGCTGTCCTTCGACAATGTTGCCAGCCAGATATGCCAGCAAGAACAATCGTAACATCGAAATACTAAGCTACAATTATTTAAACTTATTTTTAGGTTAATTTTGCCGTCGTATTTTGACAAGTCATTCTAAAGCGGATGTACATGTAAACCCGCAACTGCAATACATCGTATTTTTAAAAATCATTCAGTATTGACGTTATTCAACTGGTCGTTTTATTGAACTACCTAGTTTGAAAAGGAAAAATAACCACAAAAAGGTAAGACTAAGTATAAGATGATTCCACTGCAATAAAAATCTTGAGTAAAATTACACAAGGTTTTCTTGACAACCAGCAGATCGAATAAATAAGCATCGATCTTTGTTAAGGCTATTTGGTAATTTAAATGATTTGCAAAAAGAATGCTAATAGTTGAAAGAATGCAGTTGTACAACTGTCATTGTACTGCACTTTTTTTAACAGTATTGTTGATCATAATATTTTATAAAAATATGCTAAATCTTAAGTCAATAAAAAAAATTTTCTTGTGTTTTATTACAATTCACTAATTGCAACTTGGTGTAAGCGACTAGAAAATGATGGTTGAACTCGTCAGAGAGTCATGATTACCAATCGAATCCCAAAAGAGAATTTTAGAGGAAATGTTTTTTTTCCCCTTGACAGCTATGCGTAAACAAAAAAATAAAAGAAAACTTAAATCTATTTTAATGCAAATTTTAGGTACAGCAACTGAAGTAAAGTATTTGAACAGTTACAGAAAACATGAGGCTGCCTAGCAATAACAGCAATTACAGCAGTTTTTTCCATTTACGGCTAACCGGTGATGACGACGATGACGACAACAAAGATAATGATGATGGCGATAAATCATTTAACTCAATTATTAACAACTTATTAGAAGTCAGCACTTTCTCCGCCTGACTTTTTTTCTGCCAGCCAAATTCAGTGGGTCATATTACGTCAGTATTTGATCATTCTGTTTTTTCTTGTCCGCAATGTTACCAAAAAATTATCTTATAAAAGGAACAAAAAAGGATTTTGGAATACAATTTGCTGGCGTCGAAAAAATGGAACAAAATGGGAAAACTCTTTAAGAAAGGCTGAGATAAACTTCAAATGCACTGTTTTCAAGTGAAGATCTTTTAACAGATTTTTTTTTTTTTTTGAATAAAAACTTGTAATAAATCAAAAACAAAAAAATCCGCTCTCCTAATCCTATCAACTGTGGAAGACTACTGACACAGTTTTGACAGACACTTCACGCTTTCAATAATTCGTCTCTGTTTATTAACCAACAAGATCCCAACAAATTGGCTATTAATTTTTCTATAAATAACTAATTTTTACCGTCAAAACAGTCAGTAAAATCAAATCTTGTACTGGTAGTTGAAAGAAAATCACCATCAGTAATAAGCAACTGTTGATGCAATAAAAATTGACAAAATATGACCTACAAAAGAACAAAAACTCTATAAATTCAATTATTGTTAAGAATAAGTATTAAAGAATAAAACTGCTGGCACTTACTGCAGGCGATAATAAAAGAAGACAGCAAACACCAGACGAGAATTACCAAAAATTAGAACGTTTTAAAGTAGCAGAAATAAAAGAATTTCTTGATGTAAATTAAGTTTTTTGCACTCACTGGTGCCATGATTTGTGGTAAACTTCTGTTTCTTTGCTTTGTGATTGTAAACTTAATGCTGTATTTCATGCCAAAAAAATTGAATCTAAAACCTGAATAGGTTATCTGAAAAAAGAAAGCGCTTGTCATAAAATGTTGCAAACAGAAAGCGGCGCTTACGGAAACTGATGTCTAATATCGTGATTTTGACCAGACACTATATCTTAAACTTAACGCTATGTAATGTCGCCTCTTGCTGTACTGTCGAAATCAAAAGTTGCACAACGAAGATCTTCACAGCATTTAGAGGTCACTGATTCTCAAGCTTGAATAAAGATGTGTTTCTTTTTAACAGAAACATCCATCCATCAATTCTGTTTCGTATAGTTCCTCAAGCTGTTTCGTTTCGTCAGTTCTTTTTGTTACCTGACATCTTTGCTTCATTCTCATCCTTCTACTTCTTACTTTTAATCTCTAATTTGGTAAATCTAGTATTATTTACTTTCAATGTTGTAGATTTTGTCATGCTAGCTACAGTATCTGATCCAGTACGCCAATGGACCCTCAGTAGCACCTAACATACCAGGGTAGCAATAGAAACAACAGGCCAACTCAGTTTTCCAGAACAGACAAAAAAACTGCTCTCTGTGAAGAACTGGTGCAAAAAGAGTAGTTTTCTTCAAAAAAAATTTATACAGATCGCTTACTACTTGTTAAGGTTTCAACGCGAATACATGCGTTTCTGCAAATAATATTTAACACGCTAGCTTAACAAGGAGAAGTGAAAATTAACAAAAATTTATGAAAAAGAATAACGTTGTTTATAGACCTGAACGAAAAAGTTTAAAGGCAGTTGGCCAACCAGCTCGACAGAATGCGTTCTCTTTAGCCATAATTCGCAACCCTGTTATAGCCAGAAAATCCATACCTACTGCACTGCAATCCTTCAAGTAAAGCTGCCAAATCTAGAAGTGCAAAAAACTGGTGGACCAGACATTATTTGAGCCTGGATCGCTTATTCGATCAAACAATTTGGTTTGACGACAAACACAACTGTGTGTCGTTGCATCTAGAGGCAGATGCACTTTGCAAAATTGCAAATTATTTTATAACTCCTGAACAATATAAAATAGTGAAAGTAACATTAAGATAACAATATAGAGACTCTGTGCTTTCTAGAAAGGAACTATTCTATGAGCCAAAAAAGTGATGCTCATCAAGGTCGTGCATCAGAATAGCATCAACTACTGCTAGTATTGAAGAATTCCGAGATAAATAAAGCAAAATGGTTACGAAATGTTACAAACAGCTTCACTCACAAGTCGCTTCTGGAACGAAAATCTCCGAATTTATCGCCGCTTTAAACTTGCATAGGGAAGACATGACACTATAATTCAAATCTACAAGTCTTCTTAAGAAGATACAGAAAGCTGACATGGTGCAGCGTTCTGCGCGATGCGAATTCAGAAGACGAAGCAGAGAAGAAAACTAAAGAAGCAAAGTATCTATCTTCTCTCACAAGAATGTAATCTGAGCGGATTTGACTCCGAAAGGCAAGCACTGCAAGAGCATCTCAAAGAATCTGGAATTCTGAACACCAGTAAACAGATATTCTGCAGCATGCCACTGAAGCATGGGTAGGGACAATTTGACAAATACTGTGCCCCAAATGGAACTTGAAACCTCACTTTCAAAACGAAAACTATTAACATCTGCTGCAAACGCATACTTTCCATCGAGTCTCAAGACGCCAGTCAAGCTGACCGCAAAAAATTTTACTATAAGAATTTTTAAAACAGTAAAACATTGGGATAAGCTACTGGGCAAGGCAAATATAAGCCGACTAAAGCGTATCCAAGACTGGTAAACCAACCAACACTGAATAAATTTATCGCAGGATAACATGTGTTTGTGGGTGTTTCAAAAAGCGCACAGTTCCTTAAGTTACAATAATAAACAAGAAGAAAACCCGATTGTGTCCCAACAAACGAAAAATCATTCCTCACTCCCCAATTCAAGCTGGTAGCAACCCTTATCTGAAGGTGGCTATTGACACTCGTTGTGCGAAAGCTAGTATTGAGCAAACAGGCAAGTTTTTAGCTGGAATCACTGCGTACACTTGCGAAGGTACAAATGAACACAAACACCTTTTACGATTTGTATCTGATTAAGTTAAAGAAATTAGGAAGACTGCTGCCGAAGTTAATTAGTTTCTAACTGTTGAGCTCCTATGGAGTATGGCTTCCGGAGAATTGGCATCCAGCATCTCAGTGGACTGGAGCATCCGATGACAAAAGATTTCGTTTTTAAAAAACCCTCCCAGAAATTTGGCCTGTATAAAGAAACACAAGAAAATTCAGACAAAACGAGTGGTGGCAGAAGAAGTCGAAGCAAAAATCTCGATGAACTTCATTTAATCTAGCTGTTGAAAAAAACTTGTTCGTACCTTCGACTAAAACATAAAATTTTTTGATAACTACGGATATTAACTGTTGACACACTGCGGAAAAAAGCCCACAGTTTGAAAATGCCAGAAGAGAAAACAAATTTTTACAAGTTGTTTAAAGAGAGTTATAAAAAATGAGCAAAATTCTTTACAAGTAGCAAAACCAAAAAGAAAACCCATTGCATTTATCACCGAGATGAAAACTAACATCATTTTCCTAATATTCATGTAACTACTTTTTATAAATGCGAGGCTAACTATCTGTTTGGAAACAAATTGCACTGCTTTTATGGTGGAACTGAAAATCATTTGCACAGTCCAATGCTATCTATGCGACTTTCCTACACAATAACAGTCTAAGCCAGGAACATGATCACATTGGGCATTCATTTAGAACTGGAACTCTATAAATACTGACTGCTATACGCAAAAACTACTTCCCACTGGATAGATAAAGGTTAAGTGAGCAGCCAATTTAAGCTGTATGGCCCATCACACACGTTCTGGTGAAACATTTCTTTTACTCCATGCCAAGATAGGTGTAAGAATGAGCGATTCAAAATACAAGAACAGCATTACGGAAAACCACTGGAAAGAAGGCGCTTGAACACACAGAACTTCAAGCAACTGTTACTAGGCAGTTTTAAACACCCATTTTCTAAGGTCTCTCGACATCGACGGAAATAGTGTAGACGTTATAATAACTATATTTCTTGCTACCTCATGTAGAATCAATTTTCACGTGCACGAAAGCAGAGGGGGTCAATGACGGCGATGAATTATGACCCACTAAACCGGGCAAATAAGAGAAAGTCTTTAATTTCTGGTGAGAAACACAGCAATATATGGACCGCTTTAGATGCTTTCAGATAAAAAGTCACTCTTTCAAAGAGTCGAGTTTTATTAAACGCAAAGCGTTTAAGCTTTTTATCTGTCAACAGCCAAAAGTCGAGAAATCATTGTTGTTGCCGAAAAAAAAACACTCACCAGCATCTATAAGCTGGCGAGAATAAATAAACTATTAAGAATCAGAGGCAACCACGTCAGAACATCAAAAGTATGATGAAAAATACAAACTTCTGAAAACAACTATCAAAGCGTTTCCAACCAGTCGAAATCATCGAGAAAGAAAACCCTGAGGAAATATAGGCTAACGTCAAATCAGTACTACTAACAAAAGTAACTCCAATGAGAATACGTAATCATTTGGACGACGGAAGATCGACCAAAGAAATGGCAAAATAAAAAGCTAGCCTCTTTTAAGTCTAATCACGTTTCTTTGCGTCATCATAGAAGTTGTTAGTAGCCATGGAGAAGATAAAATCTCCAGCAGCTTTAGTGCAACAACAAGAATTTAAAAACTTAAATTTATTTCCTACGTGAACTTTTCCCCTTACCACTCCAAAACCACAGGCTAGAGGGGAATTGGCCAACTACGCGTGCCATCATATGCACATTTCATATCGAAAGAACGCCAGAACAATATGCACCGGTGCAATAGCTCAGTTGATTTTGCATGTTGAAAGGAGCAAACAAATGGTGAAGCCAGTTTTAGTTGAAAGTTGCATATATGTTCCAAAATTTTCAGCGCTCGGTGGCGTGCAACTAATACAAAGAAACAAGTACCTCTGGCACTGTTTTGTTCCAGTGCACTACAGCTACTGCTCTCAAAACGACATCTGTTTTGGCACGACAGATAGTGAAGCGGAGGAAGAAGGTGTTGCCTGCAACAAACACTCAGTTTTCTCTGACCCAAAACCTCGGAGCAAATCGGAAGTCCAGGATAGCCTTCGTATAATAGTTACAAGAAGAGACATCTAGGAAGTGCTTCAGTTGGCCTGCACCTGCAGAAAAGCGGAGCGTTTCTAAAACACCATCGCCATCAGCCAAGCCGCCATTGACAGTTTACAAATGATCTTTAAATTTGGGGAGAAGTAGTTACACGCACAGCAAGTGAAAATACGCATACAACATGGAAAATGTTCTCGTATTGCCGATGATTATTGACGACAACGACAGCCTTCTAGAATTTACTCTAAAAAATTCAAGTTTTACGCAGAAATGCGCAGGAAACACTAAAAAACGTAGAAATGACCAGTGCCAAAAAGTGCAAAAAAACAGCAAACTTTACCGAAAAAACTCATAACAGTGCGCAAAATGTAGTCCAAAAATCATCGTTTCTCCACGACGTTTCACAACAGTAGAAGTGGGGATTGAAGAGGCAGACGGAAGCCCGATTTTGCAAGGCCTGAAACGACTTCAATCGCCGGAAGGTAAATTATATTCCAACACAAAGTTCCTAGGACAAATAGAGGTAGTTCTTGCACATTTTTCTAGCCTGACATTATTCAGCATCGTTACAGACTGGAAACAAAATGTTACGAGAGGCTCCAAGTCAGTGGCAGTAATTTTTGCGCCAATTCACTAAACACGGAAATTGCAAGCGGCATCACGCGGATGAACTGCTCAAGAGTGCCAGACTCATATCTGTGATAATCTAAAAATACTAAAGTTGGACGAAAACGTCAATGCTGAACCATCCTTTTGCCCATTGGACAAAAATCTAGTTTTCAACTCAGGGCTAGTACTGCTAGAGGAGGCAAAGAGAGTTGAACTGCCGATGCAAACAATTACGGCGATATACAGCTCAAACTTTCACAGAAGAATGGTGATACAGAAGAGCTGTTTGTGAAAGTCAGCTAACAAAAGTTCTTTAAAGAGGCATACAAAACAGCTGATGAAATCAACAGCGGAATTGTTAACTAGCTCCAACACTGGCAATCATCCCTTGTCGTGATAATATCTTCTCTTGCTGCTCTTGTATTTTTTTCTGTTGAACATTAAAGTCTGCAATTTTCGTTTTTCTTGCGAACGTCTTTATAAGCAAATGGTCCAAGCAAAAGATCTACAACTGCTGAAATATATGAAAATTCTTTTGATTTTTTATCAGTCAGTCTGTTCCTCACTCTAAACATTTCTTTCACATTCAGCTTATTGGTTAGAGTCGGAGAATTCGCTGTTAAGAACGACGCAGATCTCATAATTTGGGTGCGCATTACAGTGCAGTGACTACATCAACAGTGACATTAAACAGATCCCTGGGCCATCAGGAGCTCACTGATTTTGACGCTTTAAAAAAAAAATACTTTTTTTGTCACAAAGATTAGGTTTGCTAAGGTGCTGATCATATTAGTTCCGGCAAACTACACAAACATCGGATGCAATTATGCAACTGCAGTTTTAGAATTTAAAATAACTTGGTGATTTGTAATTTTTAATATTTGCCGCAGTTATATTTGTTGTTATTTCTGGCTGAACAGACTGTAAATCATTATCAGTTGAGTGGTATTGTAAGTTTAAGCGTTAATAGAATTGTTTTCTAAAATATTTGTTAGATTGAAATAACTGTTAGAAAAGATTACTTAACAAAAATTACAATTAGTGGAGGAAAAAATCTAGAGAATATTGTTTTCACATTTGTTGTTGTACCAATTTATTTTTTAAACTTTTGTCTCAAAATAAGTTCAATAAAACTATTCAGAAAAAGAAATTACAAGAAATGTTCAACCGGGAAAAAAATTGAGAAAAAGACTCAGAAGTTGTTTTTGTTATTATTTTGAGATTGATTTGACAATACAAAAAATGAAACATCGACTGAGAAAACTGTCAAGAACAAAAAAAAAAAAAAAAAAAAATTACACAGTTATCACGTTTAAATATATAGTTTTTCCTTGAAAAAACTCAAAAACTTGTTAAATCTTAGATGCTAATTGCAGTTAAGATGATGTTTGACCTTACAGCTGCAAACACCAAATATGCCTCTAAAATCAATCTGCAATACAAACTATTTTATCCTGTTACAATTACTAGACAGAATCTGACAGATTCTTCAAATGAATATATGTATTGTCAAAAAAGCAAGAGTTTTAAATTTAAAAATTTTTATACATTTGACAATACGAAAGAACAAATAATTTTAACTAAAAGAACAACAACAACAAAAACAGTAGCTATTAGTGTTATTAAAATTTTCCTTATAGAAATCAAATTTCTCGATAGTTTCAGAAATATGTGCAATCAAGAAGACAGTTCCCAGAGAGAAGTATGTTTGCATGAACGTTTTGTTTCAACAGATCAAGAATTAAATTTTTTTAGGTACATTAAATCTTTAATGCTTTCCAATAATTCAAATAAAACTGGCAAATAACTGCTGCAAACGTATAAATCAGTGCTATAACAAAAGTGCAGCATTATCCGTAGGTTTCTTGGCTAAACCACCACTAAGAGGTGAGATTAGCTCATTGTTCATAATCAACAGTTTTTCAGCCACTTTTCTTACGTTGGCTAATTTTTTATAAACTGTCTTTTAAAAGATGTTATTTGTTCAGTAAATCATATAAAATACAGTTTACTCAACTTACTTAATTTATAGAAAACATGTTGAAAAGACTTGGAATCAAGTTTGTCTTAACTGATTTCTGCATAGTATTAGATATTACCAAGTTTTGTTGAAATATATTATCAAAAAAAAGAGAGCGACATTCTATAAAATAACAGTTTTTGCACTAATTCAAATCTTATTATTTTTAATGACTCTTAATCAAAAAATTAATTAAATGTCACTTAACTTAGTGTTTAATGGTTATAACTTTCTATAAAGGTAGTAATAAAATGTGAAGTGATAAAACGAGAAGAAATAATGTGACAAAAAACGAAATAATTTTTAACTTGTTTAAATGTATTATGGAAGAAAATTAGAAGTTGAATCAATCTAATAAAGTTGCAGAAGATTCAGTCAGCTTTTAAGTCATTACCTATATGGCCTAATAGGTTAAATAGTGAAATAACGATCATTTTTTGAAGAATCATTTCAAAACATTGAACTGCTAAACGTAAACTATCCTCTCCCCTTTTTCCGAATACCGTTGAAGATTTTTTTCTAAACTTACGCTGTTTGAAACAATTGTTCCACTGAAAAAGTTCTTTTAACAGGAAATTTTTCTGACTTTTTACTAAATAAACATTCCCAAAATTAGAATTTTTTCATCACTTTAACAAATACGTTTTACAGTCACTAAATTTATATTGAAATCATTTGTTGTTCTGAATGTATTCTGAGTGAAAATATTTTTGCCGACAAAATTACCAATTCTTCTTTTCTTTTCCTTTATTTTTTTTACAGCTAACAAAGTTTTTTTTTTCATTATCGACAATCAACAAACATCAGAAATAGCCTTTTCAAACAGACTGCCCCTAATTCCTTGTCAGTTGTTTGTGATGTCAACTGTGGGCATAGAGATAACTTTTCTATTGTTCACATTTACTATGCTAAAAATTTATTGCCCCGTTTTTTCGCTCAAAGTTATCGCAAATTTTTAATCAAACAAATCAAGTTGTATATAAAGAAAAAAAATTTTGTTGTCTTCTCCATGTCAGCAGAAATTGTTGTTTTTTCCTCGTCAACATAGTGGACTCTCTTTTTTTTTTTTTTTTTTTTTTTTTTTTTTTTTT